CTTTCTATGAAGCCACAATTAGCTATAGGGAGGATTTGGATCTTCCTGATTTAGTGTAATAAGGTTTACTTGTTAATTATATATAATTAATCGAAATTTAGATCGACAAATTACGGTTAGCGTTGAATCAACTGTTTAACATCTTTATTCTGAAGCAAAACGACGTTTGTGAGAAAAGATTTTATTATTGAATAAAAAAATATATTTGGAAACTCTAGATTTAGATCATAGAAAAAGTTTAAAGATTATAAAATTGAAAAACTTGTTGAATTTCAAATTCCGGATAAAACAAATAACTCGAACTTGAAATTGCTAATATTAATAATTTGTTTATTAATAAATAATAATAATGAAATGATATAAATTACAATGGATATTTATAAATATGTGATATATATATATATATATATATATATATATATATACATACACATATACATATACAACATATATAATGTTCTATAAACTGCCAGGAATAATTAATTATAAATATATATTAAAAATGTTATTTGTTTGTCTTGTTATATACAAACGCGTATTTACAAAGTGCTTTCATATTTATTATTATTAGTTGCTGTCAATATTTCACCTCCTTCGTTAACGTTATTTAAGATTAAATATGTTATAGACATTCTATTTTCTTGAGATTCAATCATATCATTACTACTATTATTATTAATTTGATAATAATCTCCATCTTCTTCTTCAAGATCTTCATTATTGTTATTAAATCTTTTTTTAAAGAACATAAATTTAGAAGAAAACAAAGTTAATATCATCTTTTGTGAAATAATTAGAGAAAGAAAGAGAAAAAAATACCCTAATAATTTCAATGAAAGAAGAAGATGAAGTTACGGTAGAAGTTATTATAATTAGTAAAGAAAGTGAGTGAGCATTTTTTATTTTTTATTTTTAGAAAGAAAAAACATCTTTATAGAGATAATTCATTTACTATTTTCGATTTCGTCATTGTCATTGTCATCGTCATTGTCATCGTCATCGTCATCGTCATTTTTATTCCGGGCTTCGATTTCATTCATTTTGTCAATGTTACTATAATCTTTATTAACAATATGGTTATATTTATGATTATGTTGGTTACTAATAATAATTTTTGACGGCGAGGGTGATGATGATTCTGTTATTATTCTTCTGTTTTGACGTTGATTGTTATGATAAAAATTCTTAACCATGTTACCAGTCCTGCCGGGAAGAAATTCTGCAATTTTAGCCCATTGTGGACCAAAACAATCATATAACTGATATGTCTTCGCTGCTTCTCCCTCGATAAATGGACCCTTCTTCACTAATATATGAAACAATATATATTAAGTAAAAAATGAAGATTAATAGTAATGTGGTAATTGAAAGAATGAAACTTGGAGGGATGGAATGTAAGAATTTTGAGAATTTTACAACAATGATTTTTTTTTCTTTCAGAAAATTTATTTGCACATGCACGTATATTTTTATAACTTGATTTTGAGCGACAAGTTCTATAAAGGCAAATGTGCAACATGCACTCTTACAAAACTCCACTTCCACACACACACGTAAATAAATATATAGTAGTAATAAAACGATAAAAATTATATTTTGAATAGAAGGGTAAATATAAAAAGAAAAAAAGAAAAGAAATGACATACAGTTTGGAGCAAGGTAGCCTAACCATCGTTCTCGACACTGCTTCGATGAACGTGACACGAACTCTTCTCCAATTTTTACCCAACTAGGACCATACTTATTATACAATCTTTTTAAATTACGATCCTCCTTATTTATTTTTTTATTATTGTTATTGTTATTATTGATTATTTTATATTTACATGTGCGTATTATAATGATGATGATGATGACGATGATGATGATGGAGAAATAATTTTGTATGATAAATTTGCCATTATTATTATCATCACCATAAAATATAAAAGATTGTTTAATTTAATGATCGATCAGATAAAATATAATTAGATTATTAGATTGTTAGATGGAAAAAGAACATCTAATGTCATTTAATTTTTGTGATGATAGTAGTGATAATACCTGTGTAGTCCATCTGCCTTTTTTATTAATCATGTTTGTTTGTTTGTTTGAATTTTTTAATTTGAAAAATTTTTTTTTGATATATGTTTGTTGATATGTTGATTGTTATGCTGGTATTAATTATATATATTATTATTATTATTATTATTATTATTATTATTATCACCACGAGTAGTAACACTTTGTTCACGATGTTTTGATGTTGATGTTAATAATGATGTTAATAAGGATATTATTATTAGAATTAAATTAAACTTTAAAATATATTATAAAAAATAGAGTTGGTTTTCTTTAAAAAGCAATCTTTTAGAGATTTTATGTTAGCGGATAATAGAGTTTCAAAGTACATAGGATGATGTTTAATTTTTATTTTTTTATAAAACATCATAACAAATTAAGACATAAATAAAGGAAAAGGAAAGATGCTGCTGCGCAGCGTCGTTTAGAATAATTTATTATTTTTAAGGAATTAAAAAAAATTTTTTTTTTTAGATGTACAAAAGAAAGTTTGGAAGCAACAAAAAAAAAAAAAAAGAATTTTATATTTTTTTTATATAAAGAAATTATAATTTCCTTAAATGAGAATTTACATAATCTACAACTTATTGCACACCTAAATTGTGCAATCTTCACATTAAAATTTTGACACCTTAATTAATACCAAGTGATTTTAAACAATTTATCACAAATTATTATTATTCAGTAAACAAGAAGAAAATTCAGGTTTTTCTTCGTTAAACGTTACCATTCGTCGGGCAAAGTCGGGGAATGATTGGACATAAAAGTAAATATGTATTATATACAAATGTATATATATATATATTGGATTGATTGATTTTAAGGATTGATGAAGTTGCTTTTTAGTCGGGCGGTGACATTGTTTGGAAATTTGCTGCGTTTATTATCAAAGCAAATTGTAACGTGATACTCGCTGACTGTTTATTTTAGGGTAAAATCATTAACAAAGAATTTATATGATTTATTCTATTTTTGGAATCTGCCTAGACCGGGTGCTTATATAATTTCCTTTAATTCTCTCACTCGCCAGTCGAATTATATACATATAATAAATACGCAAATACAACATACATATACGTAAATATTTAAAAAAACAGAAAAAATGTGGGAAATAAAGGTGAAAATTATAATGAATATGTTGATGATATTGAGAATTTAAATCTCGAAGAATAACTTTAAATAAGCAGGCTTTCCCAAAAAGACTTTTAAACAATGATTAAAAAAACATCAAAACTTGGCTCCCCAATTGCCAGAAGCAATTCGGTTAATAATTTGATAGATTTGATGTGCAACTGTTAAAAACCTTTAATGGAAATTTTCAAGCTTAGATAATTGATGAAGGTAATATAAAATAAATAAATCACACATAATAAATACATAACGCATATAAAAAATTAAATTATTTAGGAATTGAAAGAGAAATTTTTTTTCAGAAATTTTTATTTCTTCCTTATCTGTTCATGGTATCACATATCCAACGCAACAATTTAAGAATTTTGTTTTCTTTATTTCGTGCAATTTAATTAAGAATATTCCATAAAGCTATTGGCTGATCAATATTATTCTTCTCTTTGGTGCACAGTTTCTCACTGGGTAAGTTTTGCTTATTGCATTGAATGAAAATTTATTTTATTGGTTGAAACTAAATTTTGTAAATGGTCCTGATGCAACAGGTTGATAAGTTTGATTAAATAACCTATACAGCCATGAATAAGCAGGGACAGACATTTGATAGATTTTGGTATCTTCTTCATCTATTAATACTGTTTTTTTTGTTTGGTGAATGGACACTTCATAATGCATTTGCATGATTAAACCTGATAGATCACCATTTTGTCCTCATTCTGGAAATATTAGGTCAGCATCTGGTACAATTTATATCGGTGAACGTCTTTTTAATGAAAAAACTTACAAATCAAAAGTTGTTATGTATCCATCAAAAAAAAAAGAAAATATCATGACAAAGGCTGGTCAATACATATTTTTACGTTGTCCTGGAATATCTTTATTTGAATGGCACCGTTTGTTTTATTTAACTTCTGCACTGGAAGATTATATATCTGTATATACTTTGGGTATGATTTTGTTTGAGGAAGAAAAAAGACTATGTAAAAAAGCAAATAATAAAATCGAGTTAATAGTGCTTATAAATGGATATTTCAACAAGTAAATTCAGAGTTAAAAAAAGTTTCGCTTGGAGAAGATTTATTTAAATTTGAAGGTTCTATGCTGAAATGATGCAACACCTTTTGTAAAAGCATTCGTAATTATTTAGAAAGTGAGGCTTTTTTTTCTTATTGTTTTTTTAAATGGTTAATAGATGAAGTTTTGCAAAAAAATCTACAAAAATATGTAAAAGTTTACTTTTTTTTTTTGTGATTGCAAACTCTCTTTATTAACATATTATAAGCAAATACTTGTTTATTTATTATTAAAATATGATTTATTAGTCGTTTGAATGAATGTATTATGGTAGACCAAACTGGATAAAATTTTTTGAATTCATTAATGTTTGTGGACAAAAACTACTTGGTAAACAGTTAAATACCAAACGTGATTTATGAATCAAGGATTTAAAGATGGTACTAATTAAATATTTGGTTTTAAAATATTTTGTTTTATTCTTAACATTTATACTACCACTACAGAAATTTTAAAATTTGTGTGCACTTATATATATACACATTGTAAACTTTAAATTTACGAAATAGCCAATGAATGTTATTATTATCAATGGATTATTGATGATAATTTTTATAATAATCATTAATCTCTACTACTAACGTGATGAATGTCCAATAAACCATCATGGTCGCCAGTATTAAACATTGTGATTATTAGTGACACTTCCAATAACTATGAAACCATCACTGCCATCATTACCACCACCACTAATATTACTATCAGAAAAAAATCAAAATTTTGCAAGAAAAATTGTTGTAAAAGTAGTTGCAACGTAGTATTTTTGATTAACCAAACGTACAATACCAAGCACGCCACTGCTTCCACTGTTTAAAGCCCCCAAACTTATAAAAACACCAAATAAAATTATAATAAGTTCTCCTAAAAAATAAAAAATAAAACTTGTTTTACTTTGAAACCTAAACAAATTAATTGATAATAATTTAAGTTGCTTAATTAGTTGATTTGTTGATTAAATTCAATTAGTTTGACTAATTAATTACTTGTATCCATTATAAAGACTTAAATGACGAGCAAAGAAATCTCCAATTGGTATTAATATTAAATAAATTACCGAAGCAGTAATCTCTCCTGCTATCGAGAAATCATCCAAACGAATTGTTGCAAGTGCAACGTTTGCAATAATATGAGCTAATAATGTAAATAAATATACTTTTTTTTTAAAGAAAAAATTATTTATTTATTATTAAATTTATTTTTCCAACAGATCACTCGTTTTAAAGAATTTATTGATTTATATATACATTACGCTTAAATAGAAAATATGACTCTTTAAAAGTTGTTGTCCTCCTTTATCTCCTATTTCTACATCAATATCATGGGATAAAATGATGGCCTGATAATAGAAATACATTAATATAATAATGATAGATAATCAATTGGATGAAAAAATTCTTATAGTTATTGGGAATTATTACCAATTGTTATTTTCTACAACAAAATCATAAGGGCTGGGGTTCATTATTTATTTTTTAACGCGTAAAGAATCATGTTAATAAGAAGAAATTTCAACTGTGGCTTATAAATATATTATTCTGCAAAGCCACACGAAGTTTATAAAATAATTGTTTCGCCATATCAAACGGTAGTAAAAATGAACAGTGCTTCCATCTTTAATTGTTAACAATGTGGGAATCATTGATGTGAATAAATCTTAATGATTTCTTGTGAAATATAAAAAAATGTGCGAATCATTTTTTTCTGAACTTTTTTTAAGAAAAAATGAAAAGATTGTTTTTTCACAAAATGAAAACTCGAGAATTATCCAATAACAAGTCTAAATGCATAAATATAAATGTTATTATTTATTATACAAACATAGTATTATCACATAGGACCGTTAGGTAAAAAATTAATTAAATTATAGAGATTAAAACAAGATTTTGTTATCAAGTGTTTTATGTAATTTTACATATTGGAGAAAATTAAAATCACTATCAATGGCTTTAAAGGCTCCATTTTATATTGCGTGTAGCGATTAATGGATATATTTCCACAAATTGTAAGTACTACAATAATAACAATAAAAGTATTATTTGGCAGTTTATGGTGAAATTTTGCCAGAACTTCCATGTAAAATCCCTGGATACATTTATGAATATTGTATTTGCACTCTTTATTTCAATAGATGCTTATATAAGGTAAATTGAATTGACCCTATTTAATTGTGTTTTTTATATTTATAATAATGAATTTTATTTTTATACATTTTAAATATGCCTAAAGAAACATCTAGGTTTAAGAGAATATGATTGGAAACAGTTTCTGATTATTGCAGCTGCAGGTATGCCCCGACACATTTTAGTAATTAATTATTATTATTAATTTTTGCCCCATTATGTAGTCTACACTTTAATTTTTGTTTGATTAAGAAATATTAATTAATCCATTAAGATGTAAATCTGTCAAAAGTGACGATACAGTTACTACAATTATAACCTTGGCAATAGCTTTACTCATATCATCATTTTGCTATGCAAGTATAATTTATGAAATTAACAATATGCATGTGTATCTAAAAAAATAGCTTGCTATATTTTAATTTCTATTCTTTAGTAAGTTAAGGACAATCATTTAAAACTAATAAATTTAAAAATTATATTTTATTAATTTACATATTTTCATAAAATATTTTCACCAACTGCGCTGACTTAGGTTTTTTGTTTTTTGTAGGTGGGCGATTCATATATATTATTAATATATTAATATATACTGTATAATACTAAATATATTATGTCATTTAGTTGTATATGTAAATATTGGGGGCATCGGGAATGATTGCATCTACCATTACCAGAAAGGATTTAAAGATTTCATTGATGGAACATTCAGGTACTAATAATAGTAGTGATAACAGCAATTCCAGCAATAATACAGCAAAATTGAAATCCATCGAATGTCAATTGTAAATAGTTCACTTGATAATAAATTTTAAAATAACAATAATAATAAACCATGAATATCTTCTTATAGAATAAAGCTAAATAAAAAATCTATAATAAGTAAAAATAATCAAAAATAATCATGACAAAAGTTAGACCTACCTGGAAATCGTCCGCATGTGATGCATTTCCGTGTAATACATATGACTAGAATTAGAATGTTGCACTAGATAACCTGTTATTGATTTTAATAATAAATGATTGAGATTATTTGTATGGTAAAAAAAAGTTGCGTAAAATGCAAGTATGTATATAGCAATATTAATGACAATATTAATGAGCCTTAAATTTTAATCTTTACTTGTTGTTTCATTTTTTGTTTTAGTCAGGCTGGTGGTCCGCTGATCAACGATGAGATCACGGAATCCAAAATTGTCCATTATTTTTTTTTTAAAAATATATTTCAAAAAAAATTTTCCTAAATAGTAAAAGTATATAATATATATTGTAAAAAGTTACATGAATAGAAGTTTGTGGATGAGGTTTAGTTGTTTTTGCTTCTGATAATTTTTGAATTTGCGTTGAAGTTTTTTTACCCACATTAAGATCTAGATTATTGACCTTCTGTCAGCCATTGGATATACCAGCTATTGTATTTAATTTTTCTTATTAGCCCTATATAAAAAAAACTTATTTCAAAAGAAATTTCTATAGAAAATTAAAAAAAGCAAGGTTTTTTTTCATACAGATAATGAATGCTATAAAAATTGGATCACTTGTTATTCTGCAGCATGCAAAACTGAATTTATAACAATGAAGTAATTCGTAATAAGTTTCTTTTTGAATAAAATTCATTATTTATTCATAAAAATAGTTGAGAACTACCATTAAAAACTAGCTACATTTTTTTTTTTGTAATGTTGCAATTCTATTATTTTTTTCATAAAATCCACATATGTATTTTATGTGGAATCCACAACTCCCTAAGAGTAAATGTTTTAACACATATTGGGAACTTGGAAAATGTTGTTCCATTTGTTCACAAATGCATAATATATAACTATTTATCAAAAAATATTCATGGAGAATTAATACAAAACATAAAAATAACAAAAAAAAATCTATATCAAAAGTATTCATTTATTCAATATTTTGTCAGGTTTTCTTTTGATTCAATTACAGCTTGAACCCTTTGAGGAATGCTGTCTACTAATTTTTGCAAATAATCATGATCAAGATTGGCCCACTCATCCATTAAATAAGAAACTAATTCATTTGTATTTTTTGGAGGAGCAATAGTAGTTCGATCTTAAATGCTTTTATTGTATGAGCTACTTGTGACTGAGAATGATTAAGTGCATCAGCAATGATTTTTTGCTTTAAATAGGTGCTAATATAATCCTTTAAATTTTTCTTTTTGCCAGGGATATTTAATTTATTGGCTAAATGATCAATTACTTGAAAACCTAAATTATGATGAGTCTTTTGATATCCCTATCCTGGTTGGGCTTTGGCTTGGAATTGTTCTTGGCTCAGACCTTTGCCAAAACCTTCATATTGTTTATGCAGTTTATTAATGAATTCCACTTTTTCACAATTGTTTTGGGCAACTTCTTTTTTGTGTCACAAGTACTTTCATCTGCTTCCCAACATCCCAATTATTCAAAGTCTGTTAATCAAGACATGATGTATTAATTGAAATAACAAATTGAAAATTCAATCTTTTAAAAAAATCTATTTTTGTTAGATATTTCAGCCGCAATTGCCCTTTAAAGTTTGTTCACACATAATGATAATTGTCTTGCATAAAAAAATCATTACAATTTTTTTCATGAATATTTTTTGACAAATAATTATGAACATTTATATATATACATTTGAGAACAAACAGAACAATGATTTCTAGGTTCTTAAGATGTGTTAAAATATTATATCTTAAAATAGCTCTAAGTGCTATTTTTTTGAAAAATTTTTGAAAAATTTTAATTTGTCTTTTAAGCATCATAGAATTATCAATAACAATTGGTCCAATGTGATATTTTAGAATCATTTCAACAAGCATTTTCTCACTAATACACAACATTGATTTGTTTAGTAAAAAAAATGAGACCTGTTTATTTGTGTGTACTATGTCTTAAGAAAAATGTCAGCTACTATTTATTATTATCAGGTAAGTCCTATGTACAGTTTACTCTCTCTATAATGGATCTTTCTATAACAGATTTTATTAGTTAAATTTTATATAATAATGTATAATGGACAGCACCCCGAAAACATTCTATATCAGTCGCAGGACATTGTGGATCTACAGGGGGTCAAGTGTCACTCATTAATAAAAATTTTTTGATCAACACGGAATTTTATATGAAAAAATAAAGAAAAAAATCACGCTTTCATACACAAACTTGCCTGATTTAATCAAATTGTTACTTGAATCATAAAAAATAACAAA